TCAAGCTATCACCCTGGGTAGAGTGCTGTGACATCACAGCTCACAGCAACCTCCAACTCCTGGGCTTAAGCGATTCTCTTGCCTCCCAAGTAGCTGGGACTATAGGTGCCTGCCACAGTGCCTGGCTATTTTTTGGTTGCAGTTGTCATTGTTGTTTTGCAGGCCCGGGCTGGATTTGAACCTGCCAGCTCTGGTGTATGTGGCTGGCACCTTAGCCGCTTGAGCCACAGGCGCCAGCCTTTTTAACACATTTCTGACCAGTCATGAGTAACCCAGTAACATGGATGGTTTCTGCATAAAATTGCCAGTCAACGATGTGTTAAGATGTCAGAGGCGCTCAGAGATGAGGAGGGGAGAAAGAATAAAATAGGCTGAATTTGGGACAACTGAGAATTGAGACTGGGAGAAATGAATAGGGAACAGCTTGTATGTCAACATATTGTTGGCTGGCAGTTTTACACATGGTAACTATCCATGTTACCGGGTCATCGTGACGGGCAAAATGTGTTAAAATGTAGTAAGATATTGTGCACATATATTACGACTGTGCTATGGCTTAGGGAATTAACATTTGACTTTTTTATCTGAATATATTTGAAGAATTTACCTGATTGACGTTCACAAATTATTTTATCTCCAAATCCTTGTCAGTCTTAAGCAACAACTGAAATCTTCTGAGCCTTCAGATAGATATATCTTGTTTTCCTCACAATATGTGTAAATATATAAACTATGGTGATTTTTAAAACTTAGAATTATTAGCCTATTTATCTTAATTTCTTTTTTAAATTAGGTACCAAGAATATATCCACATTTTAAAAATTTAAAAGAATGTGCCCATTTTCCCATATGTTATCACTGTATCATTGAAACCTCACAGCAGCTTTCTGAGGCATGCATGATAATGTTTATATTTTTACTTTCTGATTGTTAGTTCAGTCCAGCAGCAGACACGTTAACTCAGTGCCTGCAGTATATTTGGAATGAGGCTACAGGATAGCAGTGGGCAGACGTGAATTCTACCTACATGCTTTTATAGCCTAGCAGTGGAGCTACGGGAAGGAAATGATGTAAATAAAGATAACGAAGTTACCAGGCACAATGGCTCACACCTGTAATCCCAACACTCTGGGAGGCCAAGGCAGGGGGATCGCCTGAGCTAATGAGTTCCAGACCAGCCTAAGCCAGAGTGAGACCTCATCTCTAAAAACAGCCAGATGTTGTGGCAGGCACCTGTAGTCCCCAGCTACTCGGAAGGCTGAGGCAGGAGGATCACTCAAGCCCAAGAGTTTGAGGTTGCTGTGAGCTTTGACGCCATAGCACTCTACTAAGGGCAACAAAGTGACGTTCTGTCTCCAAAAGAAAAAAGTTAAGAGATTTTAGGTGATTTACATTAGGTGACTAGCCTAGTAAGTATTAGGATGAAAGCTGGAAACCTATGCAGCCTTAAAGAAAGACGGAGACTTTACCTCTTTCATGTTTACATGGATGGAGCTGGAATATATTCTTCTTAGCAAAGTATCTAAAGAATGGAAGAAAAAGTATCCAATGTACTCAGCCCTACTATGAAACAAATTTATAGCTTTCTTATGAAATCTATAACCCAATTATAGCCCAAGAAGAAGGGGAGAGGGAAGAGAGGAGAGGAGAAGGGAGAGGATGGGTGGAGGGAGGGTAATTGGTGGGACCACACCTATGGTGCATCTTACAAGGGAACATGTGAAATTTACTAGGTATAGAATATAAATGTCTTGGCTCGGCGCCTGTGGCTCAAGCGGCTAAGGCACCAGCCACATACACCTAAGG